GATAGCAATTGAACGACATCCATCCTGCTCCAAAAAGGCTTTTGAAGTGCACGACGGTGTTCTGCTTATGCTAATGTCTAGTTGGCTCCATTACTTGTCGATGTCGACTTCTGATTCATCCTATAGTTGCCGATCACAATGTCCTCGTCGATCCTGGAAAGATCACACGATATCTTGACTGTCACAGTTAATGGAACAGATCCACACATCAGGGTCCTGCTGTAATCACCTGACACTTCCCACCGCGAAAGCCTCGAGATCAAAGGGGAAAGACATGAAAGGCATTGGGAAGATTCACCTCACTTCTTTCCTTGGGTTTCCTCTTCCCGTTCACTCTGATAATGAATGGTTGACCCTGCAGCGTGCATTAGAGGATTTGTTAGTTGTGACTAAAGCCTGAAGTATACTTCGTTTTTTGTTTGTATCTTACTAATCAGTTTGTCCACAAGGTGGCAACAGTGACTCGGGCCATTGGTTTACAAATGAAAAACAAATGCGACAAACACAATAAACTACTGAAGACAGCATCAATAATAGACGCCCATGTTGACGAGCACTTGCGTGAGGTGGTTCAGAGATTATGTAACTTTTAAAGAGATTTTTATTGCTCATAACCGGACAAAGGTGAAATGTTCTGAAACGCTGCTTCGTGAAGGTTTGAAACATTTGCAAATCATTCGTTTCAAATCAGTGATTCGGAGCGTGTATCAATCCACAAAAGTCATGGGAATTCAGTAAGTGAGGCTTCGTTATATCATAACATAAAAAATAAAAAAAAACATTTCAGTGGTTCGCCACTAGGGGGCGATCATAGTGAGTTTGTGAACCAGTGTCTATGCGGGTTTTTTTTAATTTTTTTTTTACCTGATCTCAGATCAGTTTTATACATTTGTAGACATTTTAATGACACATTTGTTTAATAAAAATGTTAATAGTCTCTTATTGGCCTGATTAACCTCAACAAAAGGCCTCCACAAAACAAACAAAAAAAGAACACATATTACACACTTCATATTTAATGACATTTGATGATTTTTAAAATTGCATTTAATAGATGACACTTCGTAAAACATTTGCAATTGCTTTGTAAAAGGTGTTTTTATGCATGTGTTTGTTTTTATGGTTTTATTACCCACATTCGTATTTGTTTTGCCTTATGTCTGTTCTAGAGACATTTTTTTACAGCTTTTTGATAAAACTCTACTAGGTTTCCTTTTGAAATATGTTTCAATTGAAACATCAAAATGCATTTAGGAATGCAAAATGTGATTAGTAAAGTGTCAAAACCGTGATTAAAGTCAAAATCGCAATGTTGATAAAAAAATAAATAAAAATAATAATAATAAAATTAAAATAGTGACAGCCCTATTGTATAAGGAGAATAAATGTTGAAATTGAAGTGTTATTTAGTGTGTCTTTGCACAATATTAATATAGGGAGAGTTGTATTGGTGTTTAATGTTCTGTTATGTTGAGATTTATAAGGATTCCTGTTATGTTGCAGTTTTGAAGAGTAGAGCCTGTGATTAAGTCGAGGAATTGCTACAAAACTTTAAGATTATACTGTTATGATCTGCATAATTACCTTAAAGTTGTGTTAACATTTTAGGGTTTACTGTGTAGGGTATAACAGCAGCCAAACTGCCTTTTAAAATTTGAAATAAATATAGTCATATGTAACAACATGATTATAATTCTGAATCCACCAGAAACTTTATGAAATTGTTAATGATGGATGTCACGTCACAGGGATTGGCTGTCGCCCAACATTTTAGCCTAGCCTTTATTTAAATTTCAGCATTTCTGGTTTCTTGTCACAAACGTCTCTCACCAAAACATGACACTGATCCGTCATCCCATATTTGTCACCGGTTTATTTGTAACCATCATCATTAGCATTTCAAAACAGTGCAGACAAACAGTGTCTGTTTCTGGCAGGACACGTCCATTCTTATCTTCTTATGTCCATATACAGAAGCAACAACTAAGGAAGGAAATTGAAGTATTGTATTGCAAATTTGTGATAGAGCAGAACTGAACTGGGCCTGTAGCACAAAAACAGCCCTTGGACAATTTGTGCACTTAAGATAACAAGCCTGTGGATGCTTCTAAAACCCTGCAATCTCATTGCCTCAGACTGTAGCTGTTTTTCAGTGAAGGTCACATGAAACTTTATTTTACTGTCCCGATTCAGTCTTTTTTCATTTCAGTTTTGTTTATGCTTTTCTCTAAAAGTATAAAGATGACAGTCATGGATGTGAGGCATATGCTGGACTTTTTTCTGTATATGCTAGGAATAAAAATGAGTGGTGGTTTAGACTGTTAAGTGAGTATTGAGTTCCAGCAATTTCAACTAAAGTGCAACTCTTTTTAGCTGTTTGTACAGTCTTCACTTATATATGTTTGATTTAGTATGCTAATTATTAGTACACAGGAAATGATTAAATGATTAATGAACACATTTGTGTGTATACAAGTATAGCAACAAGGTAGAATTTGATTGAATCTGTTTCTTAGGAATTATTTATTTATTTATTAATTTATTTTCTGTTTTTAACGTATTATGATTATTAAAAATCTCAATATATTGCTTTTAAAAGTAATGTTTTTTTTTTCTGGTTCTAAATCTACTACTAGTTTAATTTTTAATCTACTTTTCTCATTCAGATTCTTCAGATTCTAAGTCTACTGATATTGAATTGTGTATGTTTCTGATTACAATTCTTCTGATTTAGAATTGACTGACATTGATTCTGAGTTTAAAATAGCTGATTCTGCATCAACTTAGAGTATCTATCATGAACAAATCTTCTAATCTATGTGTCCTGATTCTTCGGCTTACTTAATTTACTGATTTTAAAAGGAGTGATTGCTTCATTTTTTTCCCTAATTCTAAATCTGCTACTAATTGAATTTTTTTATCTACTGATTCCAATTTTGAATCTACTTTTCTGATTCAGATTCTTCTGATTCTCAGTCTACTGATTTTTTTTGTTTTTGTTTCTGATCACAACTCTTTTGATTCTGATTCTACTGATATTGATTCCGATTCTGATTCTGAATCTACTTAAAGCATTTATTTTGACTGATTTAAATCTAAAAGTTTAAATCTATGTATACTGATTCTGATCCTCTGGATTTTTAATTTATGTGATGATTTATTGACCCATCCATCCATCCATCCATCCATCCCTGCTTCTGAAAATGCTGATTTTAATTTTTAAACTACTGATTTCAATTTTGACTCTTCTGATTCTGGGTTTCAATCGGTTTATTCTGAATTTCAGTCTGCTGATTTTGAATTGTATAATTCCGATTCCAGCTCTTCTGATTCAGTATCCCTCAATATTGTTTCTGGTTTTGAAACTGATTCTGAATATTATTCTGTTGATTCTGAACAGAATAGTTTTCAGATCTTCCTGTGGTCACCTGAAGTCACTGTACAGAAATGGACATGATGACTTTTTTTACCCTCTCAAACCAGTGTTTTTGTCATTTCCCCCCTGCAAGGACTCTTGAAACAGCAGAGAGCTGTAGCTGCCAGCTAAAACTGCAGTTTACTGGCTATTCATGGAGCTTCAGTGCATTTAGGCCTAAAGACGGGCCTCTTAAGTGCCCATAAATACTGTGTGATTTATAAACAAATACCCCGTCTGATTACGAGTGCAGACTGAAGTGACTGAAGTGAACGGCGGCTCTCCAACTGAGGACTGTGTGCGGAAAACGATTGAGCCGCACAATTAGCAAACAGACATGCATCTTAACATTAAATCAAATAGAGTTGGGTGAAAGATAATGATGCTAAAGAGATCTGTGTCAAGAATGTACAGCTATTCAGATACAAATTATTATTAGGATGATTTTTGGATGATATTTTCTCAGATATTTTAGTATTTAATGGTTATTTTTAGTTTAGTTCTCTTTCTTTCCTTAAACCATCTATGCAAGGAGACACATTTAGAGCCAAAAGAGTCTCTGTAAGGCCGTCTCTAGTGAGACGAGCAGTGGTCATGGTGATAAGCAGTCTGTCAGCGCAGTGGCTGCATCGTCGAAATAAAGGGCATTTATTTGACATGCTTTAATTGGGCCAAAGAGACAAATGAGTGGTCACTTTAAATTAGGCTGATCATAAACCATTTTAAAATCAGTGTGTGAGCGAGAAAGACAGTAGAGAAAAAAATATAACTTGGCTTCTGGTCACAGTTCTGCCTGCTAGCGAGGAGTAAATAGGAAAATGTGAACCATAGAGCACCCGTGTTTACAAATCAACAGACGCAAACTGCTTCACACAATAGCGTCTCTGTGTTGGCTTGCATGTGACTTGCTGGTTCCATTTGTTCTGGTGGATGTGCGAACCGTTAATGGTGGCAGAAATCAGGACAAAATCTGGTGAATGAACCTCCCCGCTAACTCCTCTATGCAATTTTATCCTTTTTGCAGCATTATGCAGTGCAGCGGTGTGTGGCTTCGAACAATTTTATCCATAGTGCATGTGCTCACCATTTAATAAAACTATTCTTTTCAAATGTGTATAAGTCATAATTTCTCACTTTCTCTCAGAATAAGAGTCGACCCCGTGGAATATTTCATTGCTGGCAGGTTGCTCTTTCATAGCTCTGGAGACTATCAGATGTTTGATTTAGTCTGAAATGTGCTCAAATAAAAATAAACAGAGGTACATACATGACATATGGCACAGAGAGACTATAGAGCTATGAAATGAATGTTGATGGAGTTGTTGTGCGTTTCTTGACAACTAATTTTTGGGTTGTAGGCTTTGGTATCTTATAAATGTCAGATAAAAATAGTGGAAAAAAGGACAGAAACTGGTCAGAAATCCAAATGGACTTTTTTTTTTCTAAAGTGTAAATATCTTCTGTATACATGAACATTTCTAGTTGCATTATTTTATAGGAAGGTGGTCCCTCGTTGGGTATTTACATATTGTTATATCAAATAGTTCAAGCAGTGTGATTAACATAATTGTTTGTCTGTCTTTAGCTGGTGGCAGTGTACGAGGAGCAGGACCCTCATCATGGCGGAGATGGCACCAGCGCGAGCTCCACAGGCACCCAGAGTCCAGAGCTCTTCAGCACGGGTGAGCTCAACTCCAGCAACCTGTCAGCCTTCCAGCCCTACCAGACCAGCAGTGAGATCGAGGTCACCCCATCGGCCCTCAGGACCAGTGAGTCACCGTCCCATTCAAACTCTATTCAAACACATTTTGTCCTAACCAGACGCAATATGATCATCAGCAAATACCCACAATCCTCACTGAATGAGAAAATTATAAGGATAAAGCATTGTGGTTTAGTTTGATTTAGTTGTATTCTGATTTTAATTTTATTGAGGTTGATTATTCTGATTCTGTTTTTTACAGTACTTACTAGGGGTGTAACGATACACGTATTCGTATTGAACCGTTTGGTACAATGCTTTCGGTTCGGTACGCATTACAAACTGAACGATTCGATTCGTTGGACTAGTCCTATTACATTTGGAAAACGAAACCACTTAGTGTGTAAAATATAATGTTCTCAGTGCCACTGCACTCAACAAGGCAGCCCAAACGATGTAACAGGCAACGTGCTGTCTGCCCAGTGGCATAACGTTGGCGGACGGGCACGCGCTGCGAAAGGCCCCGCGATAACCTCCTCTTGCTGGGGTGCGTCGAAAGACGATGAGCTTGTATTGACGATAGCCAGATATATTGTCAAAAACATCAGTTGTTGGCAGTATTAAGATATTTGGCATTTCCAATTAATGTAGGCCTACATTCTTACATTCTTATTTTTATTAGGCCTATTATTATTATTATGCTTTTACTTTCATTATTAAATTAAAATTACAATTAATTTGCCCCGCAATAATGACCAAATAACTGACATGCTGCGAGGATAACAAAAGATTAGGCTATTTACTCCTCAACTAAAAAAAACAAAAAAAGGTATTTTAAAACAGGTCTATTATACAATGAATTATAGGCCTACAATTAAAATATTAACACTGCAGTCATCAATAAAAATCAATGAAATAAAAAGCTTTTATTTCAAGCACCGACTTTCAAAAACAACCTGTTTAACATGAAATATGTTTCTTCTCATTTTTTTCACTATGTAATATTATAAATATTAAGTGAATGAATTAAAACAGTTAGTTTTATACCGTTATCAGCATATGTTGAAGTAGATTCGTCTCTCGTCGAGAGAATATGCGGCATCAGATGCTGAAAGCTCCGTCATTACTCTGTACTTCCATTTTTACTTTCACTTTCTGCATATAGTGAATTGACTGAGATTAAATCGTTCACCGGCATAACTCTTGCGCAAAGTTTGCACGGTGCTTGTGTGTGATATCCTTTGGCTCACCCTTCATGGTTTAAAACAGAAATATTTCCAACATTGCGACGTAACCAATTACCCCCGTACCGAACCGAACCGTGACACCACTGTGTTGTATCGAACCAGACTGTGAATTTTGTGAACCGTTACAGCCCTAGTACTTACTCTGATTTGATTCTGGTTTTAAATCTACTGATTCTCATTGTTCTGAATCTTTCTGATTTGAATACTAATTCAGATTTTTCAGAATCTGAATCTTCAGTTTTTAAAATTTCTGTTTTTGATTTGATTCGTCTGCTCGTCAGTCTGCTGATTTTGATTGTGATTTTGAATCTAGTGATTATGATTGTTCTGAATCTTCTGATTTTGAAAGTAGTGATTCTGATTTGATTCTTCTGATTGGCAGTCTGCTGAATTCAATTCTGATTTGGAATCTACTGATTTTGATTTGATTCTTCTGATCGTCAGTCTGCTGGTTTTGATTCTGATTTTGAATCTACTAATTATAATTCTGAACCCGAATCTTCTCATTTTTGATCAGTCTAGTCGTCAGTCTGCTGATTTTGATTTCTGGAATTGAATCTACTGATTCTGAATCTTTGAATCTTCTGATTTTGAAAGCATTGATTCTGATTTGTTTGCTCTGATTGTCAGTCTGCTAATTTTGATAGTGATTTGAATCTACTGATTATCATTGTACCGTATCTGAATCTTCTGATTTTTAAAGTACTAACTAATAGGCTTGCCGCGATAGACGGTGCTGACGGTGATACCGTTGTTAAGCCGCAACACTGGTTACGTCACTTGCCCACCGCGGCACCGACCCCCATCATCGTTTTGATTTTTTATAGTAATAAAAATAATTTAGTTCAGTAAAAGAGCAGACACTACAATTAAAAACGGAACGCGGCTGCTCAATGCAGCGTGCTGAACGACAGTCGCATCACAGATCAGATTTCATTTCTCCAGTGAGGAGAGTGAGTCGAGCTGACTGACAAGAAGAGTGGGGTGAGACCGACAAGACGATCGTGGATGATTTAGTTTCGAAACTAAACTAAATGCAAAAGTGCCTGTTTGGCAGTGTTTAAGATTTTGAAAAGCCTGTTGACTTTTGCCGTTTATCTAAGGTGATTTTGGAAGTTTTTTTAAACATTAATTTCTTATTTAATTGGTTCCACAGTGTTTGCTGATTTTTACTTTATTTAAACTTTGTGTAATGTATTTATTTTATTTGACATCAAGGTGTATGCCGTGCCTCCAAGCTTTCTTATTCGTTTTGCTAATAAACTTTCTACGTTTCTTATTTATTTGGTTATATATTATACATGTTTACTTATTTCTAGTTTTGTATAGGCTACCTATTTAAACTTTATGTAAGTTATTTGTTATTTTATATTAGGCATAGCCTGCCCTATAGCATGGTGTATTTTTATTCATTTTGTTAATAAAAGTTCTATGTTTTATATATAGGCTAAAGTGAGTTTGACGTTGTATTTTGTTGTTGCATTCAAGCAATTGATGCCGAATTGCCGCTAATTCGAAAGTGAAAGTAAAATGCGCATGGTGCTTTTAAGCTATTTAAAAGAGAAGGAAAGTGAGAAAAAGAGGGAAAATTCAAATTAACTAAAAAAGAACAATTGCTTTACGTCGAATTGCCGCTATTTGAAAGTGAAATTAAAATGCGCTTTTGCAAGCTATTTAAAAGCGAAGGAAAGCGAGGAAAAGAGGAAACGCCCCTGCCCCCAGCCCCCAACTGGTATTATCGGTGTTGTCACACGTCGATTAACCAGTGGAAAAATTTCCTCACCGTCACAACCCTACTAACTAAATCTTATTTGATCCTGCTAATCATCAGTGTGCTGGTTTTGATTCTGATTTTGAATCTACTAATTATCATTCTGAACTTGAATCTTCTCATTTTTGATCAGTCTAGTCTTTAGTCTGCTGATTTTGATTTCTGAATTTGAATTTACTGATTCCGAATCTTTGAATCTTCTGATTTTGAAAGTACTGATTCTGATTTGTTTGCTCTGTCAGTCTGCTGATTTTGATACTGACTTTGAATCTACTAATTCAGATTGTTCTGAATCATGTGATTTTGATTTCGAAAGTACTGATTCTGATTTGATTGTTCTGATTGTCAGTCTGCTGATTTTGATACTGATTTGAATCTACTGATTATCATTGTTCCGAATCTGAATTAGGGATGCTTATTTTAACCGGTTAACTGTTAAAATAAGCCTAATGCCGACGTGAAATGTTTACAAACATTATAATAAACACTGTTGACATAGCTAGTTATTTTAGTTCCCCTCACTCCACAACAAATCCTTACAATTTAACAGTATTTAGAAAAGAACAAGAACTAAAAATATAAGAAGCTATAGCTATATAAACGACAAGCCAAAACAAATTCATTTAGGCTAAAACGAAACTGAAACGAACGTTGGGTCTCTCATTCGACAAAATCAAATGTTTCCGTATTCGCGATGTATTTGACTGCCAAAATATTATTTATTATGTAGCCTACTTCACTGGCGTTCCAATATCCATGTAAAATAAAATGTTTTGCATAACATCACGGCGATACAGTGATAGCGCTTAACGGCACAGATTTTACTACATATTTAAACTGAGCAGTGTGTTTTTTTTCCCATATGTTTGATTGACTGTATTTTATTATGATAATGAACAGGATACATTGTCAAGGTATTTTTTCCTTCTAACAGTGGAAGCAACTACTCCTTTCAGTCATAAAGATAATCGGAATTGTAAAAGGTTTGCTTTTATTTGTGTACATTCCCAATACAAACAAATCTTTGTGCTTTTGTAAAATATGCCTAAAGAAAAATAGGATGCTGCTTTCTTCCGTTTTGGTTTCCTTTCGCGCAAAATGAACCGAATCTCTGCTAGGCTACTTGTTGCACAGTTTTTTCTTTCATTTTCTTAATTTATTATTTAAGTAAAAATATATTTCTCTTATAGGCCAGTATATATATATATATACAGTATATATATATATATATATATATATATATATATATCTTTGGTTTTAGGACAACTTTGATGAAAGGTTTTGATCCACTTCATATATATACTCCGCTCGCAGAAGCGCTGCAGGTGCCTGATGTGATATGAAGACCATGTGAATCCTCATGTTCTGTTGTTTGCTGCTTTTTGCGCATTGTAAAATTAATCCCCGGAAAAAAAAAATCGTATTTTTAACGGATCACAGACACTTATCCTTTCTCATTTATTTCAATTCTAATTTAAAATAATCTTGTCAGTTAACAGTTAATAATCGGTTATTGAGCGTCGGTTGTCGGTTAGGAGAAATAACCGAAATGAACATCCCTAATCTGAATCTTCTGATTTGATTCTTCTGACTGTCAATCTGCTGTTTTTCATAATGATTTTGAATCTACTGATTATAACTGTTCTGAATCTGAATCTTCTGACTTTGAAAGTACTGATTCTCATTTGATCATTCTAATCATCAGTCTGTGGATGTTGTTTCTGATTTTGAATCTACTGATTCTCATTGTTCTGAAGTGTGTTTTTTTTCCCATATGTTTGATTGACTGTATTTTATTATGATAATGAACAGGATACATTGTCAAGGTATTTTTTCCTTCTAACAGTGGAAGCAACTACTCCTTTCAGTCATAAAGATAATCGGAATTGTAAAAGGTTTGCTTTTATTTGTGTACATTCACAATAAAAACAAATCTTTGTGCTTTTGTAAAATAAGCCT